CTTGCTTGCTTGAGAAACTGCAGCTTGACATTGCATGCTATTGATACATTTATGATCTACCACACCACCCAGAGCCTTCTCATTTACTGACTCCCCCAGTTGTAGTCCAACTAGAGTGTATGAAGCATGCATGATTTTAGTCCCCAAGTGCATACCGTAACTTTACATTTATCAACAATAAACGAGTTGCAGTACAAGCGGCATTTTATCATTCTGCCTCTATATTTTTTTGTATGTTGAGATGTTGGAAGAGCGAGTCTTTATTTTACTGTGACATTACAGAGGTTGAAGCAGGATAATGGCAAGAACTGCTTTTTCTTCCTACTGCAACAGTATGTGAACCTGCGCTTTATGAATTTGAATTAGAAAATAATTATGCATACTTTCCTGATGCCTGAAAGCACTTGAAATATGCATTCCTATTTTTGAAACCTCCTTGAGACCATAATGATATAAACAGTAAATTAAACCCATCAAATCTCTCTGCGAAAATAAGCTTGCTGAATGTCTTGCAGAACTGAGTCAGAGATAGAAGAGTTTTGGTTTTATTTTTTTTTTTAATTTTTTTAATAAGCCAAGCTGAAACTTATGCTTCTCTAGTTCAAGAGATCACACGACAGCTTTAAGATTTTGTTTTGGCAGTTCTACTAGAACAGTACTAGGCAGTAGATTGTCATGTATTTTATAAGGACACCCAGTTGAAGTCTTATAAAGCATACATATTTTATAACTTACCTCAGAGGTTCCCAGTCTTTTCCAAGTCATGACACACCAGAATCAAATAGAAAATGTTTGTGACATATAGCATCATACAATCATACGTTTTGTTGCCTCTTGTATTCTATGGCAGAATAGACAGTATCCCAGGAAACCAGTGAAGAATATATCAAGTATTTGTTGGTCTTGTTGGTCAGCACTGTCACACTACCAGGCTGACTATTGAGAAGCGCTTCTTACTTGTGGGACCTGGTCCCCAACTCAGAGCACTTGTCATTGGTCAATGTGGTCATATGTTCCTGCTGACCAATGATCGTTCGCTATTTGGAAGCATTATACTTATTACTTACTGTGGGGTTGTGAAATACAGTGTACACACCGTACAATGGCTGGCGTAGGATTACACAGTTACGTGCAGCAGGGGCCCGGGGAAAGGTGGTGGGTGCTATCGGTAAGTTAATTTTCTTACATTTTGTGAGAAAGTAAGCTTACTCTTTAGGTCATTTTTGTTAAAATCCTGTTGTTTACAGAGCTCTATATTTGTCAAGCTGAAATGTACAAACACAAGTGAAGACAGAGCAGTGTCTCATTCCACTCGTATTCCCTTCCTGCGAACAGGTGACTCTGATGAAAGGCTAATGAAAGATAATTATAGCTGTTCTATCTCTTTAGAAAACCTATAGCACACTGGGAATCACTTCTCATGTTGTAAATGTTCATTTGTAAAACAATCATGAGTATGTGTGTATGTATTAATATTGCACTGGATGCCAGGGGTGCACTTTGGACTGATGATACATCCCCTGTTTGGCTTTTGGTGCATTTAAGGGGGCAGCAGGACCTTTTTAGGAGGGGTTTAACAGAGCACATAATGTAGTAGTATGTGTTTGTGAGCAAGCCAGGTGCCTGGAAAACCGTTGTTGGAGTTGCTGATCTGTTGAGGACTGCCTGTCTTTCGGAAAACTCCCCCAAAAGCTCTGGGACTGTAAAACCCCTCTTGCGAGTACAAGCCTTTAGTCGGTGACACACTGGTTTGTTATTTTGCTGAAGAGAAGCAGATTTTGTGTTAAGTTATTCAGCTGGAGGCAGGCCGTTGTCATTTGCTAAGAAGCATTGTCTATTTTGTTTATTTTGGGGAAAAATAAAGACTTTCTGTTATATGGCTACGCTGTTGATCCCTGACCAACTTTACATTTGTTGGAGGATGCTGGCAAAGAGTGCTACAGTGGGGAGAGCTGTAGGGATGCACTGATGCCGGTTTTTCGGTATCAACTACATATATATATATATATACACACACACAGGGCTTGAAAAATCCACTAGTCTGCTCGTCTTTGACAAGCAGACAGTGGAGCCCGACGAGCAGCTTCCTGGCCGGCCGTTGTAATTACATGGCCGGTCGGGAGCTTTACAGTCAAGCGATCGAGCGTCTCGAGAGACGCTCGATCGCTTGTATCAGAAGCTGTCACTGCCGTTGCCGGTCCCGAGATCCGCTGTGCCCGATGCAGCCGGGACCGGCACGGCTCTGTGACAGGAGATCAAAGGGAGTTCAGTACACGAACTCCCTTTTGATCTCCTCTCAGTCCCCGAATGCAGGAAGTGATCTATATTACATCACGTCCTGCATTCAGTGTCACTATCCAGCTACAGAAGCTGATGAAGCCGATCTCTGCTTCATCAGCTTCTCTGGAGGTCCCTAGGTGACATTAGGGGTCTTGGAGACCCCTGATGTCTCCATAAAGAGGACCTGTCATGTAAATTGGCTATCCCATAGGGGGCTTCTTAGCCCCCCATGTAATAGCAATAAAGTTGTATGTAAAAAAATGAAAGATTTTTTGTTGTAATACAAAAATGAAAGATTGATAAAAAAAAATAAAGAAGCAACCAGATGAAAGATTATTACCACCCTGTCCAGCTTACAACATTTTTACAGATAAACAAGGACATAGTTTCAGACCAGCCTTTGTGCAGACTTTGTGTTATATTATTGAGATAAAGATAAGTAATTGCTGTTCGCTGCTGTGAGCATTGTTTGTTTGGCCTTTTTTGCGAAAAATAAAGACCTGTTTTTGCTCGTGATCCCTGACTCCTGAACTCTGCAATATTTACACACTATCTTTGGAATTCATAGAGTGTCTACAGCACGGTTTAGAATTCTGTCATGCATTCGCATGGGAACTGTCTGTGGTTGCCTCAGAGTCATGTACCTGTTGGAAGCATTGCTTTTGCCTTTTTGGGAAAATTAAAGACTGTTTCTAACCTACCTATCCTACCCTCGGCTCCACCCCACCACATTAGGGAAAGGTACAGGACTAAGAAACCACGAGTGTGGTGCATTCATTATGTGTCCAACACTCCAGATGTGCCATTGAGCGTCATTTTAGGAAGTCATGAATGATGTAGAGAAGTTTTTTATTCTCCGCGTGTGATAAAAAAGTGGGCTAATTTCATACATCAGAACCAACATTTTCTGTTTCTGTTTTGGTATGTTTTTTCTGTGTACTTCTGATATCTTCTTTTCAAGCACTATTGACAATGAAACATAAGCATGCAGCCCCATGAGCTGTATGAAAACTGTCATTTTCACTTGATTGGTTCCTCAGTTGCTATGGTACCTGTACTAGGTGGTATCACAACGTTGGTTACTAAAACACAGTAGATGGCTGATAAATCATAGGAATGAAAGACTCAGTCATTGTACCTTTACTAACAGCTGATTGAAAGGTCCAGTAGACAATTATTGGACACTGGGGAAAAAGCAGTCAACAGAAAAGCCAGCTAGTCTATAAAGATGTTCAAGCAATATGTTGCTTTTTTAAAAACCAAAATATACAATTTATCATATGTTTTCAAAACTCCGCTCCGCTTTGCCTTACATTTGCGCATGCATTATTTAAAAAAATGTTTATCCTGTATTTATGTAGCACATACATATTACACATATCTTTTATAGAATACATCGATACATTAATAGTCCATGATGGAGCCAATGTCCCTACTACATTCTTACACACTCTAGAACCATTCTAGTAAGCCACTAGTTAACTTGCTAGTATGCTATTGCAGTATAAGAGAAACCAGTGCACCTAGAGGAAACGCACAAACATAGGAGACATGTACAATCTCAATGTAGGTAGGTTTTTTTCGTCATTGAACAAATATTTTACTATTAAAACTCTGCAAACGTTATCACTACTGGTGCAGTAGTGATAAAGTTTGCAGAGTTTTAATAGTAAAACCCTAAGTACAGAACTCCAAGTTGTTCCATATGGAAAAAGAAGAAAACCCACGTGTGATGTAACTGTGTAATCATAGTACATATGTTATCAGTTAAAGCTGAACACCAGGAAATATAAAAACCAAAGGAATTTTAGATCTGTAATCATTTATTACATCATTTAAATGTATTTTTTAAGTGAAGCTGTGTAAGTACTTAAATCTGATGTGGCATAAGCCTCTTGCAGTCCCTGCCCAATAGAGATTAGACGGCAAAAGGCAGAAGCTGCACAAGGAGCCAGTCAGTTGTTCTGAGCTAACAACAACGGCCATGCTTACAGGAGGTGAGAGCAGAGTGGAAGAGGGATGATCTCACCAGTCTTCTGCTTCTCCTTCACTTTCAAGTCATAGGCTGGAGTGGTGGGGAAGCCAAGACCTGTAAACTTCACCTACAGCAGAGAAAAATTCGGCTTCTTGCACTGCCAGACAAGGCTCTCTGGCAGGGCTGTGTAAATCACAGAACTATATGGCCAGAAATATACATCCTATGACAGGTTAAACAGATTCCATATATATATTTCATCAGTGTATTTATCATTTTCCCTGGAGTCCAGCTTTAAAATATGAATGCAAATTGGGGCTCGGTTTGGCCATTTTCAGCTGTATTGAGTAACCATCTGATATCTGTGGGCAGGATCAAGCGCCCTAATCAGGGAAGTTAAAACAACTACAGGGTTATTCACTAAAGGGTGAAGAGTTTGGAGAAGGCAGAAGAAGTGAACAATTTAGGCCAAAATAGCTGATTTGGAAAAATTCTCCAATTCAGCCCACTTTCCAGTTGAGTTATGTTCTCATAGATTGTTCCTTTGTCATGCCTTCTCCAAACTCTTCACGCTTTTGTGAATAACCCTGCTAGTCTGCCCCCACTTTGAGATGAGCTGACACCAGGACCGAACTATGTTTCACCTTCCTTTCTCCATTCCCAAAGGAGGAATGCTCATTCATAGTACCATGTCAAATAAATAGAATTTCACTGCAAGCTGTTTAGTCATTTTCTTTTCCTAGACTGAAGTCTGCATTTTCCATCTCTTTTCCATACACTACAGATGTTCCTCACTTACCGACTTACCTGTTTTGCGACCACTCGCACTTACGACGGAGCGCCGATCGACCTCCGACCTTGTGCGTCAGCGTCAGTGCGCCGTGTCGCCGGCGGAAGTGGTGTCCTCCGATCTTCATTGCGGGTCCTGGTAAGTATTTTCATTGCCCGATGTACAGTACACTGTTCGTTACTGTACATCGGCAACGCTATACAGTACTGTACTAATGCAGTACAGTACTGTATAGAGTTCCTCACTTAACGACCAATCCGTTTAACGACCTGGTCGTAGGAACGGAACTCGGTCGTTAAGTGAGGAATACCTGTACTACCAAATTACCTTTCCCTATAAATATTATCCCAATTGCCATTAAGCAACTTGTTTATCGATGTTCTTGAAATTACACTGTGTCTTGTGCTTCTTTTGTTTGCTTCAGCCTTTAAGATACTTAATTTGGCAGTGGGAGAAGCTAATAAACTGCAGAATTGCATGACTAAAGTCTCATGCCAGTGGTTTTCATGTCGTGTCTAAAAGTGTTCCCAGTTTTTTCCACTTCCTTCAAGGGGAAATGTCCATGTTAAAACTTTGCAGTAAGCAGTAGTTCCAAGTAGAGAATTGCGTTCTCTCATCATTATCCTTGCATGAGGAATGAACTCCAATTTTGTTTACATTATAATGTACTCTTCTACTGTAGTGATCAGCCTTTTATTCCCAAACTATAACCTACCTCTCTTGCTCGGTGCTGTTCAGAAGTTAACTGGTTATTCCATTGAAGCTCAATTTAAAAGAACTGAAATCACTGTTTGCATAATAAAATACTTTGCATTTTGGAACTGAATACTGGAACTTGATTTAATACTTTTAAAGAAACTCAAGGTTAACTTTAAAGTCATTTGAGTCCCTATCAGAGAAAAACATTAGTTGTAATTTGGCAGCAACCAAATAGCTATAAAGCAAGATGAAGACTGTGCCATTCCTGTGTAAGTAAAACATGCTGGAGCAACTTTTGTCTGTAGCAACAAATTGATTCAAACTTCATTTCCCAAAGCATTGAACAATTCTTCTCTGGCCAACATGTAGGTTCAATTAAAAATACATTAGTGAGTTTAGGTGACATTTTTTTTGAAGGATGCTTGATTGCAGGCATTCATTTAAAGGGGACTTTTTTTAAGCTTAGGGGCTCATTTTAAAAAAAAAGTTCAGTCTGGCTATACTCCATATAGTATAGGAATTTCCTATACTCATCAGCACAATCTAGGGGCGCTAGTGCTGTGCGAACACCATCCACGCAGCTTTTCACCTTGCAGGACTTTCATGAATGAACCCCTTAGGGTGGGTGCACTGTTGAATAAACTACCCAAAGCAGTAATTTCCATGTACAGAATGGATGCAAAAATCTAAATAGCGTAAGCTATAGTAGACTATAAGCATCATTTTTATTTGTTAATAACCTGCCTTAAGATTATTTAAAGGAAACCTGTATTAGGAGAATATGTAGACTGCCGATGCTGCCTTTTAAAAATGCTAATTGCCTTGGCTGTCTCTGGCTTCCATTGTTTCCAAGTCACTGACCTGACACAAGAATTCAGATCAAGAGTTCTGACGTTAATTGCTGCATGTAGGAAGTGAACGGTGGCCAAGGAACTAGCATTTTTATATGGCGATTAGCAGTGGTTCACACCATATCTCTCTCAGTACTGGTTTTCATTTAGTAACACCCACTGTTAGTCTATAGGCAACCGTATCTCGTGCATATGATTACCCATGATTACGTCTAGGTCTGCAAAACAAAATGGAACGGTGTTCCATTTTGGAGGACCTGATCCTGAAGGATCGGAGTTAATCTGATGTAAACAGACACCTGTCCGCTTGCATCCAACTCCCTATAAGGCCTATCATGGGTCCAGTAAGTTCAGTTTTTTCCTCCATTGAAAGACAGAGAAACACCAGACAGACATGGATATTACAATGGTGACTTCCGTACTGTTTTGCTCAGCAGGGGATCTGTGCATGGATGCCCTGCTGATTAGAACTGACAGTGCCCCTGTGCAAGAGGCCTTAACCTCTTGCCGTCCGCCCGTAGTAGAAAAACGGACGGACGGCAAAAATCACGGCATTCGGTTATGCAGATTGTGTCTTTAGTAGTGGAATTCAAGCCTCTCTCCAATTCCTCCTGGCTCATACCTGTTATTTTGTGGCCTCACTAAACAATAGGTAGGTTGGGGGCGTTGACTTGCGGAAGCTGGAATCTCCATTATTGAGAGTTTTAGAGCTTCTGGGACACTCTGATGGTCTGCAGATACATGCAATTAACTTTTGGTTTTAGTTTGCCACAGGTGTGCTTTAAATAAAAATAATTTCCTGTACTGCCTTGTTTGTGGTATTATCTCATTGCGTGAGCTTGGAACACTTAGCTTGATGTCATTAATATTAAAGGAGAACTATGGGGTTAGGGCTTTCCCCCATAGTGCTCCTAAGGGTAACAGGAGGACACAAACTAGTGTCCTCCCGTCACCCAAAGCTCAGTGTACCGCGAGCTACAGCTCGCGGTACACTGACAATTTATGTCTGGATCCACCCAGCTGCGTGAGTGACAGCTGGCTCTGCCTATCTAGAGGCAGAGCCAGCTGTACCCTCCCCCGTCCATCCCACCAGTCAGCGCTGGAGGATCGGACGGGAGGGGGGAATCCAGTCCCTCTCTGCCGCCACAGGATCGAGAAGTGATCGAGCAACGGTATGTGTTCGCTCACTTCCCGATCTGCTGAGCCCACCTGTTTCATTGTCACAGGTCGGCTCAGATTATGAGGCTGAGTGAAAATCAATCACCTCATAATTCTCCTTTAAGAATAGATGCTGCTACATCTTTGCAGAGGGTGTGAATTGTATCGGTCATTGCGGTACAGTGATTCGGCTACATACAGTATACCATGCTGAGCCAATAACGGCTAGCGATATACACAACCTCTGCCAATCCGAGCATTAATAGAATACATCGCTCGCCGTGATTTGCTCAGTAAACTGTAAACTGTATGTAGCCAAAGCTACCGTACATACATTATTACCGCACATCCAGCGGGCTGACAGATTAGTGTTTGTATTTAAACAAAATGGCTGGTAGACAAAACCCCATCTGTGCTCCAGCAAGAAGAAGGAAATATGAAGCCTCGAAAGGGGGGGTAGTCTTATACGACGAGTATAGCCCAAAACCTATGTTTTAACTGGAAAATTAGGGGATCGTCTTATACACCCAGTTGCCTTATACGCCGGCAAATACGGTATATTGTTCTGTAGGTTTGTGCATCTGGGGAAATGTGTAAAAACAAAAGAAACTGGCTCTGAGTAGCTCACAGAACGGCGATTAATGTGATCTCTTATATTATGCAATGAAATTTTTTTTTTTTAAATAAGATTTTATTTCAATTTTGCAATAGACAAAGTACAAAAATACAAAAATACAAGAACACTGGAACATAATACAGACACGTCCGGTCATCCACCTAGTCCCACGGTATGTATTCACATTCCATTTCTTTAGGACATGCGCAGCAGGCAGATATGCATGTGCTCTCTCAACTCATACCCCGTGGTTGCAGGTAACGTAGTGGGGCTATCGCAAAGATCAAAAGGCATGCGCCTTATTTTGTGTACTGCACCCCTGTCATGGAGTGCGTGCGTGCAGAGGATACGGCCGTGTTGCATCCCAGCGAACCAGACAGCATATGACAAAAACGGGGGGGGGGAGGGGGGTGAGGCCCCCCGGATATCCAGGTGTAGAGAAAAGGCAAGGGTAATAAAACTTCCCAGGGTAGGCACATCAGGGCGAGGAGATCCTCAAGTAAGGTAAACTCTTAAGCGTCGAGCTGTATCCCTTAAGGCAGGGAGCTGCGTGTAGCCGGATCCCTCTTGGATTTCTTCGAGTGGGACACTGTAGACCACTGGGGAAGCAATGGTACCTCAGGAAATATGGGAGCCGGGGGATCTGGCCAGGAATCCAGGACCACAGAGGATGTAATGCCCGCAGCAGCCAGAAAGTCCGCCAAATCAGCCGGGGAACGCAGGATCACCAGGCGGCCATTTTGTCTCACCAACAGATGGAATGGATAACCCCACCGATAGGGGATGCGGAGCTCCCGAAGCAGGGCGGTCAGAGGCCGTAAAGCCCTGCGGCGAGCCATGGTGCGGGGTGACAGATCCGGGAAAAAGGTTATGGTAGCTCCATCAAAGTCAAGCGATCCACGCTCGCGGGCCTTGGCCATGATTTCCTCCTTCTGCTTGTAAAAGTGAACCCGGCACAGCACGTCCCTGGGCTGTTGTGCGGAGGGGTTCCGAAACCCGGGCACCCGGTGTACTCTATCGAGGTCGATAGGCTCCTCTGACCTCCTGCCCAGTAACGAGTTAAAAATACCTCGGATGGTGGGTTCCAGGTCCATCGTGCCCGTTGCCTCTGGTAGGCCGCGGATGCGCACATTGTTCCTCCTATTCCTGTCTTCTGCGTCGTCCATGTGCGTCCAGATAGCCTGCAGCATCTTATGCTGTGTCACAGCAGTAGCTTGTAGGGCCGTGATGGCTGTCCGGTGTGCGTCCACGTGGAGATCCACTGTGTCCAGTCGGCCATGGACCCCTTTAATTGCTTCATGGAGGCCCGCCACATCTGCTCTATGGACGTGCTCAAAGCGGGCAAATAGCGCCTCCATGTCCCTCTTAGAGGGGAGGTGATCCAGCAGGTGTCGCATGTCACCAGGGGAGCCACCTGGGACCGAGTCCTCATCAGATGTGGCCTCCCGATCGGCCAGAGCGGGCGACAGACCAGGCGGCTGTGATGTATGTGAGTCTGGGGAGGCCGGGGAGTCCCCACGTGTCTCCGCCATGCGGCCTGCAGAGCCGGCCGCTCGCGTGGTTACCGGAGCCGCAAAGAAGCTGTTATTCGCGGCTCTCGGGTTCCGCGAGCGGTCCGGTTTGGAGCCCTGGGATTTCTTACCCCGTTTGGATCCCATTGTGAGCGGTGGGACGGCCGGTGGTGACACTTTTCAGCACGATGCCCGATTCACAGCAGCAGAGCTAAGGACAAACATGTCCAGCCGCGGCCATTGACAAGCTCCGCCCCCCATGCAATGACATTTTTAACAATGATCCCAATCTGTTAGCATAATTCAGTGAGAATATAGCCAAAACATGTCTGATCAGTATTACCGGAGATTGATGCAGAATACTTAATGATCTCCCATGCTACTGGGTGTGTCAATGGAGCTAACAAGAAAATCCTGCTGGCTCCTGAATTCCATATTAGCATCCAATATCATCCAATAAATTTACGCTTGTATGCGTGAACATGCATTCACACATGTTTACATGCATACATGTGTAAAGTTACTGACCTCAGACACAGATTCTTCAATTTTGATTTTACATATCTGGACACAGCGCAAATTTACGGATCTTTACGAAGCTATGTTCAGGAGCCCATAAAAAAAACAATACACCTGTGTTGAAATCCTTAAATCCGCTGTACTGATACAAACACAACTTAAAAAAAAAAAAAGCCGTATGCATGAACCCTTCATGAAGTTCACGTTTATAGCTGGCCCATAGTTATGGTGGCCCAAGCGAACCAGAAGAGTACAGACCAGCCATACACTTAAATGAAGTGAGCAGCACGCATGCGCAGGTCATGTCCAGACCTTTTTGCTCATTAAAAGTATATAAACTACATTACTACAGTGGGTCCTACAAAAACCAGAAATTAAAAATATTGTGAAAAAAATATATTGTGTTAAGTTAAAATAATAACAGTAAAATATTGAAACCCATTACTTTCTGATCACAAGGAGCGTAAGCTGCTTCCTACATTTCTTCTTGGATGGTTGACGTCAAGCTCCCAAGGCTTCTGCTTCCCCTAATCTTTCAGCCCTGCTCCTTCACAGACTATGAACTTTCATAATCCTTTGGATGCTCTGACACCTTCAAATGTAATATTTGAATTGCTAAAATGCATGCATTATCTAGCAGAAAGGAGTTGAAAGATGTATGAAGTTCTAAATAAAGCTGCAAAAACAATTTTTTTGCCGTTTGTATGAGACTGCTGGTTGCTTGAATGCTAGATATAGGGGAATGTACTATATCCTTAAGTTTACTATACTATATATTCTAAAGTTAGCCTCCCAACACTTCAACCTTAGGGCTTCTACACAACACAGAGCATGCATTATTGTGCTGCAATGTATTGTTAATGCTTATTTTTCCCCCTCTTCTAAACATAGACACATGGCAGTGTGTCGTGATGCAATACAGTGTGACAGAACATGTTGCTCTGCACAAAGATGCACACATTTTTTTTTTTGCTCACAACACAGCGGGTCTATGTGAATTTAAGCCATAGAACAAAAGGCAAATTGCATTGTTTTTGCCTTGGGACTGCGCTGGGCTGGCAGTCCAATGCTGTTGGTGTGAACGAGGCACCATCAATATGCGTGGCCACAAGTGTTGATGGAATCTGAAAAGTTCAGGTATGTATTTGCTTGCACAAAACACAGTGCCAGGTTATGTAACAAGAGTAAGCCTACAATGCACATTGGTGGCCAAATACAGCAAGGAATACATTCCTTGAATGCTTCTTTCATCTTAAATGGGATTACCTGTGCTATGTGAGCGAAATGTCTGATAAACATACATGCATAAATACACGTACAACTACTAAGCAGTAAGCTGTATCTGTCAGATGTGGCTCAATGCCCATCCTAATGAGCTCTTAAAGGACAATTGCGGATCTATTTATCACTGTTTTCATTTAAGATTCACTCGTTTACCTACAATTCACATGTTTTTGAATTAAAACGAAAGTGGTACATTGTGAATTTTGGGTGTAAGTTATGTGAATCTTGGGTTAAAAAAGGTTAATAGTCCCATTAGTGGGTATATGTATGTATGTGTGTGTTCATTCCTAAAATATGAAATTTAACACCTGCTTTATTTTTATCTCTTTCAGTTTTTGGGGATAGCCTTTCTTGGAGTTGGCCTATGGGCATGGAGTGAAAAGGTATGTATTAAAATCTTATTGTGTGTTTTTTTGATAGATAGATCTATATCTATATAAATCTAGCTATATATATTAAAATTTAAAAGAACGGTGAACCAGAAAGGCAAGTGATTCTGTATGTAAAAGAGTTATTGATAACATGGCAATTGTATGTACAATAATATTTAATAACATATGCAACTTTCAGCTTCTTGTTTCCTGTTGGCTTGAAATAAATATTAAGCTGGCCATGCACCAGCAGAATTTGGTTAAAAATATTGTTCTTGGAATGTTCTTTTGATTTTCTAAGTTAATGGGGTCAAATTAACAATCTTTTTTAACTGTAGTGGCAAACAAAGCAAAGGAGTAGGATGGACATTTTTTTCTAGAACTGATGCAATTCTATCAGTGTATGTGGTTTTCGTTCCAGAAACTCCATCCGTTTCCCAAATCCAATTTTTTAAAATGAAAGTTTCGAGAGACATTCGTCAAGTCTCTGATGGTATTTTTAAATGTTCTGATGAGATTTTTCATATGAACATTCAAATGAAAATCTACCTGTGTATGGTCTTCCATTGGATTGTGTGTTATGATTACTTTCCATACTATATTTTGTTTATTTTAATAGGATCCTTAAATGTTCAAATATTGTATTTATTCCTAAATGCTGTTAATATTAATCTATACTTGGGGAAATATTAAATGACTCGCATAGCAGATACCATTGAGAGGCATCCACATTGTATTGCGGACAGTGCTAAAGAGGGCAGCTTGGGAACCAACTCCGAGAAAAATCTTCATTTTTATACAGTATGTGCCTTGATCTAGCAGACTTCTTAAATGTGCTTTTGCTCCATTCTGATAAAAAAACAAAAAACATATGTTTAATATTTTCTGGGAGACTGGCTCTTTAGCATTTGAAGGGTTCTAGCTGAGATATCCAACTAATGGTTTAAATCATTGCCAGCGTTTGGATTCCTGTTCAGTTTCTGGTTACCCATTCTCAGAGCTGATGCCATACACATCCATCCCTTCCAGTTTTTCAAAAACATTTGTGTTCCTTTTACTATGGAAAAGATTAAGATAAAATCAATCAAGTGGTTTTACTGCATGGATGCAATTGGTCCCATTTACACACAGTCATAATATTCTGTGCCAGATTAAGAGCAGTTGAAAGAAAAAAATTTCTGTGTTAAATTAATGATCATAGGGTGTTGCTTTGGGTACCAAATGTTGTGTGAAAGCAGGCTCCAGTGATGGAAATCTGGTCTTGGTTGCGAATAATGCTCAAATGACAATTTAGACTAACTGTTTTGTAAAAACGATACTGATGTGTGCACACTGCAGCAATAGATTTACAATTATCCTCGGTTAACATGGATGGGTTAAAATTAAATGATATATAGTACATAACATGTAGTTGTACTACAAATCATTTAACCTATTGATATTAGCAGAGGATAATTGTAAATCTATTGCTGCAGTGTACACTGCAGCAATAGATTTACAATTCTCGCCTGCTAACATGAATGGGTTAAATGATCCGTAGTACAACTACATGTTATGTACTATGAATCATTTAATCCATTCATATTAGCAGGGGAGAATTGTAAATCTATTGCTGCAGTGTATTCTATATGTAGTACATATAGGGGTTGATTTACTAACCTTATAAACACGCCACGAACAAGTATACACCTCTGTAGTGTGTTCCCTCCCAGCATGATCTATTGGTGGAATCTATACACCTGTGTAGTGTGTACACACCCAGCAGGTGTGTTGTGCAAAGCCCTGCATGAATTGCAAGGTGATGTTGTGTAAATTAGCTCTACATTGTGTTGCTTGCGTTGATGAATGCAGGAATGTAAATGCATGAGCTAACCATTTTTGTCTAAACTGTGAAGCAGCATTATATATGCATCATGTGCATGATTTTTCCATATATGGCATTAGTGGAAATATGCTTTTAGAGACTTTTTGGTTGATAAATACGTTTTGCTGTGTAAAAATCACACGCACCTAGTGCGTGCGTGTGTTTAGGTTAGTAAATCACCCCCATAGAGGACACACTGCTAATACACTGTAGGCAATAGATTTACAATTATCCTCTGCTAATATTAATGGGTTCCTAATAGGGACCCCAGGCCCTCACTTACTGCTCGATGATGGCTGGTGCCTCGCTGGATAGGTGGTAGTCGGCGCTGTGCAGGAGAGCAGCGGCAAGTCAGCGCTGGTCCGGTGGGAGGAGCTCCAGTTGGGGTCCTATTTTAGCTGGCCGACAACTGCTCAGAGGTACCGCGCGTGTCGGGGTCCTCTGGGCAGTCGTCGGCCAGCTAAATTAGGAACCCACCTGGAGCTCCTCCCACCGGACCAGCGCTGACTGGCCGCTGCTCTCCCGCACAACAGCCTGAAGGTAAAAAAAAGATTTAAAATAGCGCAAGCATCGGCGCTTTGCATTTTACAAGTACAAGTACTTGTCAAAATGCCCTGTATCGGTCCCGATACCGATGCTAGTATCGGTATCGGGACATCCCTAGAAGGAAGACTTTTTTTTTTTGGCAGAGTCTTTGCATGTCTCTTCTGCAAAAAATCCCTACCTCCCAGCAATTCTTATTTTTATGGCTTTAAAAACAACAGAAATAAAACTTAGATGTAGGGAAGTGCTGTGACATGATCCGTATTATTAATGAAATTTACACATTTGTATTGTGAAGGAAATAATGGCATAAAGAGAAGAGAAATACTTTATGGAATAATTGGATAAAGTAAAGTATAAACTACCAAGCCTGATTTTTGTGTGACTCTCTATTGATTTCTTTAGCAGTTTGAAATTATTTCCTAACCATTTACTTTTCTCCTTAGAGGCAGAATAGTAACATGGAGTCCATTTACCTGTCCTTTCCAGTTACATCAAATGCAGCTTGTGTTCTATAAAAAAACCTGAATGGTGTATCTGGTGAAATCCCAACAAAGCAGAAGACACTAAAATCTATTCTTGAAACTTGTTATGACTGTCTGGCTGCAGAATGTGTCTGTACTTTAAACAGGGAGGAATCTGGGGACTCGTATTCAAATTAGTTTATATGACACTAAAGCCATTTTGTGTCACTACTGTTTTACAACATTGAAGCTTCTATATTCCATAGTGAACAGCAAGTCCTTATGTATCGACAATCAATGCATTTATTTCTTAGGCAGTTTTATACATTTCAATACTTAAGGGACAAATATAATGTGTGTCTTGTGAGCACACATTTTTATTATTGCGACGGATACCTGCGAAAGCAAAAATTCAAAAAAATAAAGTTTGTGCAAAAGATGCCCAATACTTTTCTGGTGGTTTCTGACTCTTTGCTCTTGTGCAGAGCCACACTACCTGAAGAATATTTAGCATTGAATGTTTCTGGGTGTGTAAAGCTGGCCATACACCTTACAATTTATCTGCAGATTTTCTGTGGTCGGATGGAAACAGATTGCAACAGATTCCTCCATCTACACTTAACTGTGTGGAAGGAGTAATCTCCACCTGGGTCAATCTGTGGCACTTTTTTCATCTGACCACAGACAATCTGCAGATAATTGTAAGGTGTATGGGCACCTTTAGTTTCCTGCTCCATCTGCTGTGTTCTGTGGTTCAGTCTGCTGGTCCCTGTGCCACTTCTGTAGTGATGAAGGGGCTGGCTGATGGAACCACAGAGATCACTGGAGTATTAGGCAGCTGACATACCTAGAAGTGTGTCAGATGCTAAAGATTATTCAGTGGCCGTAGCCCTTGAAAAGAACAAAAATCTGTGTTAGCGCCTGCTGGAGAGATAAGTATTAGGGCCGTCTTTTGCAGGAAGCTTTAAAAAAAAAAACTGGTTATCCACTGTTGCTTTTGTGATCCAGCCTCATTTAGCCTCCCTGCTTGAGGCTACTTTTACCTTTTAGGCCATGTTTCATGTTACACCCATATTCAGGGTATAACATGAAACATGGTTACATCGCCACTCCCCCCCACTTACCTGAATCGCAGGGTTTTCCACCCACAGACTGCTACTCTTTTTTTTTTTTTTTTATATGCTGTGGCTCCATCCAATAGCCATGCAATCCATTCACAGATCTTCTGACAGGCTCAAAGTCCCATTAGACACCGTCACATTCGGACTTGCTGTCCTCAACAAAATACAAGTGCGGTGACATCACTGTACTTGTAGTTCATTCATTCTTACTACTGTCCCTGTTACTGAATGTCCATACCTCAGTACAACCAGGAATGGGCGTGAGAATCTGCAGGCACCCAAGCATTGCCCCCGCCATCCACTGATTGCGGTTTGATTGCTTTACTGGCTCGGGTGCAAAAAAAATAAATAAATGCATTTATTTTTGTTGTAAAAGTGGGCTTTATCTTGAAATACTCACACACACACACACACACAAGCGCAGAGGGACGTACACTGTAACTGTGCACTCAGGAGTCACAGGTTTTGCATACAGCCCAAACCACCTGTACAGATCAATGACCGGATGCGGCTGTATGCTGGTAAACACTGATCCGAGCATTTACATATGTACAGTTAAGAATGTTTTACACACAAAAAAGGAAGAAAATGCAATAGTGAAACTATATTTCCTAAACTTAAATCAGTCCCCGCCTAGATTTACTCTCAGAATACCTTTTGTTTAACAAATCACTCTTGAACAAGATATCTGAGCAGGAATTATGATCATGAATCACCATCCATATTTTATATGCAAAAAATTATATCTTTTAATTTATAAATATATACTACTCACCCACCAATCGACATACACATTTAAAAAAGCATAAAAATCTCCCTCCGGCACAATGCTTATATATTCATATAAGTAAAGACATGGTTTATCATTTCCGTAATTCAAACTATATCAAGTATCTCCGCTCTGCCATTATATCCTTAGCTTTGTCCTTTTTGGTGCACCAAATTTATAAGCTCTTAAGATCCATAATGGAGTCCTCCTTTAATACCAATAGCAAATGTCATAGATCTTAGCCATAGCAT